AGGAGAAATACGAGATTTCAGAGCAGTGCGAGATTGATCAGAAAGCTGTGGACTCGCAAATTTTACCAAAAATCAAAGCTGTTCCTCAGCTCCAGGGCTACCTGCGAGCTGTGTTTGCCCTTACAAATGGAGTTTATCCTCACAAATTGGTGTTCTAGATTTTTTGCCAAGAACTTAATTAAATCCCATTCTTAATGTTTTAATGAACCTCTTTTGCAATTCTGCTTGTTGATCACATATTTAAATAAATATAAACTAACAAGGAGTACAAAAGTTCAGGTGAGGTTGCTGCTTTGGCTGTCTGTGTTTAAGAGTGCTGCCTTGGCTCTCTCTGTGTTCCCATTTGTAATCAGCCAGGGCTACCCAAATGACATGTGTATTTTAAAAATGAAAAATGAATCTGTACTATTTTAATTTTTTTGAGTGTAGATGGCAAAATAGGGCTTGTAGTTTGTAGACACTGGCCTGTTACTCTTTTCCATAGATGGTAACAAAGAGACCACTTAAATGTGATCAAGTTCATAGTACTTGAGATTCTCTAAGCAAAAATGTGCACACTATCAAAAGCATGTACATTTTTAAACTATAGATGTAAACATATGCTTTATACACTTTTTTATACAAAAAAGAGAAAGAACCTTCAAGTGATTGTAACATAAGTTTACTGATAAGGTCATTGTTTATGAAGTAGAAAATTATCAGAGGCATTTTCTAGTAAAAACTTTGTGCACGTTATTTTCTGCCTTTTTTCCTTTCTTTCCCTTTTTCCTATCTCTCTCCCTTTATTTTCCTCTTTCTTTTGTCTTTCATTGTTTATTTCTACTTTGTGTTAGGCTCCTATGTTCTCATTCTGCTTTTATTTTCTCTCCTCTGTCTTTTGCCAGTCTTTTTTCAGGCCATTTTATTATTTATTTATTTGTGTATATATATATATATGTTTTAAAGATTATTTATTTAATTAATTTGTTATTATTTTCTTCTTATTTTGACCAGAGAGAGACAGAAAGAGAAAGGAAGAGCAAGAAAGTAAGACGTCAGGCCCAGGACTTGAACCACGGTCACCCATGTGGGAATCCAACACCTTAACCTAGCACACCACAATCAGACCTCCAGACTCTCTCTCCCTCTTTGTTTCATTTCCTCACACTGCTCAGTCTCTGAAATCATCTTGCATGCTCATGAACTTTTACCTCCAGGGACCCTCTCTCAGATGCTACTTAATTTAGATTGGACTATAGGAAGAGAGCCTCAGGTGAAAAAATGATTCCTCTTGGTTCTGGAGGAAGAACATGGTGAGCCTGCCCTGTGCAGGATGTGTAAGGGCTGAGGCAGGAGGACGGGCTCAGGAGGAGTTGCTATGATAACCGCACACTCTCAAGCTCCCTGAGTGTGCTGCACTTCAGTGGTCGTTATCACAGTCCAAGAATGCTGCTTGCAGTGTTTTGTCCTCTCCCAGTAGATTTGTAAGCGCTGCTGGGTTTTTTTTATGGAAGACTTTTTGATTAAAGGATTGTCCTTCTATTTGTTACATTAGTATTAGTGAAAGATAATTCTCTGTGTTAATACTTTACCTTTTTCAAAACAATCTCTTCCGCCCTCAAAAGGGCAACTACTTTAGCTGTGGGTTTCCTCCACTTTCTGATGGGACGAAGTACTCTTAATCCCTGGGTAAACTACTGTCATCTGAGAAGGTCTCTCTACCAGGGTGTTTCATTCTCTTCCCTTTTAGATTTTCGGGTCTGAACTGCATTGGATGGGGATGCCTGTGGTGTGGAAATTCTTACCGCTGACTTCACCTGCAGAGACTGTGGGCATGGCGCCTGTATATCCCTCTGCCAGGACTTTTGTATTAGGCAGGAAATCCTGTGAAATTCCTGTGTAGGGTTAACCAAAGGGAGCAGCTCTGAAGGGCTTCATTCTTCTGGCTAGACTCCTCCCTTATTAGAATGTGCAAAGAAGCCTTTTTAGCTATGAATTCTTGCTGACAGGCTGACCGAGGGTCAAGATGGTGGGTAAAGCTAAGAACATTCCATGATACAGGCGGACCTCCTCACCCCCCCAAAAAAGGTAACTTTGATACTTTGATACAGACTAAATTCTAGTGACATTCACCCAATGCTAGAAATAGGGTATCCCTTATAAAGAGCAAGTGTGAGCCTAAACTATATCATGATTAAAAGTGTGAGCCCTAGAGTTGGACAAGTATGAATGCAGGCCCTGGCTTTGCTGTGTGTCCTTGGGCCCTAAGCCTCAAATGTTCTCTCCTAGGAAATGAAGATAAGAACAGTATCAGCTGTCTCGTGTATTTCGAGGATGCCATGAGGAAAGGGGTGAAAGATGCTTAGCATGTTTCCTGGCTCATCATACGTGTTCACTAAATGATTGTTGACTTTACTATTGATTTAAGAGTCTGTCTACTGTATTATACTGCTTTCTAACTTGCTCCAAAAAAACCAAATTAAAGACAGTACCACGCAGTTGTCTTTAACTTCACTGCAGCATAACGTAGAGAGAACTGTGTAGTCTATAACTACAGTGTGCATTAAACCTCTGGGAAATCATGACGACTTTGCAAGAGTGGGTAGGAATGTGTTTAAGGAATGGAATACAAAAGGTCTCCAGTTCACTGTGGTTTGATTCACAACTTTTTGACTTTACAGAAGTGCAAAAGTAATATACATCCTGTAGAAACTGTATTTCCAATACCCATATAACCACGTTGTCTACTTTCAGTACAGTACTCAGTAAATTACATGAGCCATTCAACACTTCAATATAAAATAGGCTTTGCGTTAGATGAGTTTGCCTCTCTGTAGGCTCATGTAAGTGTTCTGAGCATGTTTAGGACAGGCTAGCCTAAGTGCTGAAGTTTGATAAGCTGGGTATATTAAATGCATATCCAACCTAAGGTTATTTTCCACTTACAATAGACTTACTGGGAAATGGACATAAAAATGAAGATTTCAAGACTAAAGAAGAATAATGTAAAATTGCCAAGTGTGAAGCTTATTTGTAAATGAATGATGGATAGGAAATCACTATGGTTTTCATATGGGGGAGTCTTCAAGAAGTTCATTGAAAATGCCTGTTATGACGAGACTATGCATGGATTTCAGGTGAAGCTTATTTGTAAATGAATGATGGATAGAAAATCACTATGGTCTTCATATGGGGGAGTCTTCAAGAAGTTCATTAAAAATGCCTGTTATGATGAGACTATGCATGGATTTCAATTTTTTTTGGCACCAAAATAGATTCATACTTTAATTCTGTATTTCCATGAGCTTTTTTTTTTTTAGAGTTTTTTTGCCATAGGGCGTGCGTGCTCGCCAGACAGACAGAGACAGACAGAGACAGAAAGCAAGAAATCACCCCCCAGGGGGATGGCCACGCCGCAATCCCTTCTCCATTCTCCTCTCGGGATCTTGGGTATGCACGCACACATGCCCGGTGTGAGTTTTAAGCCACCGGGTCTGGGACGTGAACCGCGGTCGACTACATGGGATTCCAGCGACATAGCCATTATGCTAACTGCTGGTCCCACCATGAATTTTTTGAAGCTCCCCCCACCTGCCGTACTACACTGGATACATTTAAACGAGTGTGGTAACACATTTAAACATGTTTAGATTTATAATTATCAGGAAAATATATCTTTTAATTATTTAAACTTAGGCTAAAAAATGAGATGTCAACCTAAAAATGGTCCTAGAGAACATGACTTTCAAATACTTTTTTTTTTTTTTTTGGAGAGATTTTCACTGTAGGGCGCATGCGCTCGCCAGACAGAGAGAGACACAGAGACAGAAAGTGAGAAATCACCCCCCAGGGGGGATGGTCACGCCGCAATCCCTTCTCCTCCATTCTCCTCTCGGGCACGCACGCACATGTGCCCTGCGTGAGTTTTAAGCCACCGGGTCCGGGACACGAACCACGGTCGACTACGTGGGAGTCCAGCGACATAGCCATTACGCTAACTGCTGGTTCCCGACTTTCAAATACTTTTTTAGGAAGTATGATAGCAATAAAGATTGAAGACCTTCGATCTATTTTTATTGCTGTAACTTCTAAAGAGAGGTGGGAGTACTCTCCTTTCTTGCTACTCTGTTTTCTGTTACGTACAGGGTTTGATTGGTAGGTATTTTATACATGCCTTACTGTTTTGCTAATTTAATCTTCGACTGAAAAACATGAACACTTTTCGTGACCAGGCTCTTTGCTATGTGTACCAGAAAAGAAATCGAGTGCTGCCTTCTTGGAGTTAGTTCATAGGTCAGTGTCCACTCTCTGGTTTAGAGACTGAATTATAATGGAAAATGCAGCAAGGAAAGGAAAATGTGTGGTAGTGATAGGGATCACAGAGCTTCCAATAATGAAACCAGAGCGTAACTGCCAGTGCAGTCCTCGTGTTCATAAAGTTCTTGTAGGAGCTGTTGCTTCTCCAAGAATACCAAATTAACATCCTTATTTGTCCAATTTAAATATCCTGAAAAGACTGCTGACAGATGGAGGGATGAATAGAGGCTTTGTTTTCTCCTGTGATAGGCGATTTCTAAAGAGGGCTGGTATGCTTTCGAGATTGTGCGGAAGATAGTGACAGCATTACCTTTCCAGTGTGTGTGATCCTGAATAATAAACTCTTCGAGTGATTGGTTCATAGCCTTTATTTTCCGATTCCCTTGTTGATGATTTGGGTGATTAATTTGATGACATATTTTAGGAATATTTAGAGCTAAGACTAGAACAGACAAACTCAGCCTGAGAGTATTGTGTTCTAGACATTTCTCTTTTTTAGCGTTGAACCGTGCTAATTTATTAATGTGACTAAACGGTATTCAAGGGCCTTGAGAATCAAAATGAATATGTACTGAATTGAACATTTTGCATAATTTCTCTTCATTCATTTTTGAAGGGCACAGACCTATGCTTTATGTGATAATGAAACTGTCAAAGTAAATGAGTTTAAATCTTTTTTTTTTTTTTAATAGGTGAAAAGAAATTTTGTCTCAGACAGTGAGCCAGGAGGAAAGAAAAAGGCAAGAGGTATGTTTCTAGTGAGAGGATGTTTTAGGGCTGGGCAGTGTGCATATGGATGTCTGTGTAGTACACACCACAACTGTAAGCAATACCAGCAGCTAAGGTGCTGTGCTGCACAGCCTGGGACCACGTGAGAGGCCCAGGTTTGATTCCCACCTACTGAGGAGGCTGAGTCAGGACACAGCCTGGGACCACGTGAGAGGCCCAGGTTCGATTCCCAACTACTTAGGAGGCTGAGTCAGGCGGACCAAGAGTTAGTAAGACCCCTATCTTTAAAATAAAATTTGAAAAAGGTATGACTAAATTAAAAAATAGAATAGTACAGAATTTAAATGTACCATCATTGAGAATGAACAAATGTATTGTTTGTAATTTTTTAGAATACTTTTTATAAAGAAAATAAAATGATTTATTTATTATTTATTTATTTATTTATTTTGGAGAGGTTTTTCCTATAGGGCATGTGCGCTCACCAGAAAGACAGAGACAGAGAAACAGAAAACAAGAAATACCCCCCCCCCACCACAACCACCAAGAAAAGATGGCCACGCCACAATCCCTTCTCCTCCATTCTCCGTTAGGGATCTTGGGCATGGATGCACACGCGCCTGGAGTGAGTTTAAGCCACCAGGTCTGGGACTCGAACTGTGGTAGACTACATGGGAGTCCAGCGACATAGCCATTACACTAACTGCTTGTCCCATGAAAAGAAAATTTTTGATATCATAGAAGTCCTACATTCTCCTCCTCAGTCCAATCCCTTTCCTGCCCTCCTCAGAGTGAAGTATAGTTATACACACACACACACACACACTTCTGCATGTGTTAAGATATGCATAAACAATATAATTCTGCATTTATTTTCTTGTTTTAATGTTTTTCCATAGGGCGTGTGTGCTCGATGGAGAAAGAAAAAGGGAGAAAGTGCGAAATCATTCCCTGGGGGGGATGGCCACGCTGCAGTCCCTACACTGTGGTCCCTTCTCCTCCATTTTCCTCTTGGGATTTTGGGCCCATGACTTGAACCGTGGTCACGCATGTGGGAATGTAGGGCCTAACCACCATGCTATCTGCTGGCTGCCTCTCTCTCTCTTTTTTTAATTACTTATATTTTATACTCAACATGCATAAACAATATAATTCTGCATTTATTTTCTTGTTTTAATGTTTTTCCATAGGGCGTGTGTGCTCGATGGAGAAAGAAAAAGGGAGAAAGTGCGAAATCATTCCCTGGGGGGGATGGCCACGCTGCAGTCCCTACACTGTGGTCCCTTCTCCTCCATTTTCCTCTTGGGATTTTGGGCCCATGACTTGAACCGTGGTCACGCATGTGGGAATGTAGGGCCTAACCACCATGCTACCTGCTGGCTGCCTCTCTCTCTCTTTTTAATTACTTATATTTTATACTCAATGTTGTTTTGAGACTTAGCCAGGCATATTAATCTAGATGATTCATTTCAACCACTGTATAGTATTCTATTCTAAGAATACTACCTTTTAAATTCTTCAGCCATGTTTCTTATGACGGACAGCAAATGGCACATTTTTTCCTCATTATTAACAGTGTCATTAACAGTGCTTCTTTCTGTCTCGGTCAAATTCAAAAATTTGTCCAAGGTCCTAATTCTGTTTGAACATTTCTGTTTTTCTAAACCTTACATATTTGAACCTTGTCTATTTCTGTTAAATTCCTAAAATATTCAGATTTGTAATAGAAAAAGGAAATGACAGCAGCTAATTTCCTTTTTCAGTTCCTTTTTATTACTATACAGCTATCGTTAGGAGGTCTAACCTGATTTGCTTTTAAGTTGTCAGTGGCTCTTAGAATGCAGGATTTTTTTTTTAAAAGCCTTTTGCTATAGGGCACGTCATCTGAGACAGAGAGGGACAATGAGAGCAAAAGAGAGAAATCACCCCCCCACACACACAGGGTTGGCCACACCACAGTCCCTATTCTTCTCTTCTTTCAGGATTTTGGGCACACACACACACATGTGCCCAGCATGAGTTCCAAGCTGCTGGATCCAGGACTTGAACTCTGGTCAGCCATGTGGGAGTCCGGTGCCCCAGCCACATCACCTGCTGGCCTAGTGTATGATATTTTAACAATGATTATATTACATTTATTATATTTAAGTACTACTTAGTCACCTTTACATGTGGTCTATGTAGTTCATTATATATTTTTGCCCAGTCTTCATATTCCAGATTTGATTTACAGAGCCTTTGCTATTAAACATATTTTAAGTCATTCCAAGGCAACATATTCGCCAAAAACCAAAACTCTATTATTTTGGTTTGGGAAGGGAAAATTGTTCTTATTTGCTTTATATTTCTTGGGGATAATTGTATTGAGTGACTAGAATTACATAAGATACAGATTCAATGAGACTATCAATGTTTTTACTTTATTTTATTTATTTATTTATTTTGACATTTATTTCACTTTAATTCCATCGTGAACAGCTAAGGTTAGGCCAGCATATTTAAATAAGAACTAAGTTGCTAAGTTGCTAGCACTCTCCTGACTTCCAGAATAGGGTCCAGCCATCAGCATCTGGGCATACACCTGCCCGTACCTGCTCTGCTCTCACCAGCCTAGGTCCCTTGTGCTCTTTGGGGGAAAGGCTTAAAGGTCAGATGTCCTGGAGGGTGACAGTAGCAGAGTTACTTGGGAGCTCTCCAAGGAGTATGTGAATCCCTGGCCTGCAAGGATGTTCACTCCCCTCCCTGAGGAGGAATTTCTGCATTGCCATTCTTGGAAGATCTGAATTTGATTTTGTTAAGGAGCTCCGTGAATTCCTTGCATAGGGCGTTGGTGTCTACCCATATATGGGTTGATATTTCATCATTAACATTTATCAGCAAAGCAGCCATGTGCTTGATACCAAGAGTGTCCTTTGCACCTTCTTAAAGCAGCAGAGAGGGTAGCACATTGTGGACAGAATCACCTTCAATAGTTCAGTTAATATAAAGGAATCCCTGTGGCTGATAAAAACCTTTGAGGATGGGTGCAGTCATGTCACAATAGTTCCTCTTCTTTAATCACAAATTAGCTGGATTAAAATTTAAGGAGAGAAAACTCACACGAGAGATGGGAGTGGAGGAAGATATTCGTGAGAAATTTTCTCTGAATCTCAAATGATGACCATAAAACTTGACTGTCCCTGAAGCAGCATGCTTTGAAAGTAGGGCTGGAGTTGTTGACCCCAAAGGCTAATTAATGTCACACCGAGGTTTTATGACATGCCCTCGCTTCCTTGCATAGATTAGACTCCTTGGCAAAGGCATGACCTCAGCATGCAATGTGGAGTCATCTGACTGTTTCAGTTTTTTTGTACTTGCAATGTAGTGGCTATTTCCTCAATATTTGGGTATGTGTGCCTTATATAAAGACAACAGTTTGGTAATGCTGTTTTCATGATGATTATCTTTTCACATTTTTCAAGATACGTCATCATAATGGCAGAATTATGAGAGCTATATTTAGTTTTACAACTAACACTAATATATTTATTTTCCTTCTTATTAGGCTATCTTCGAAGTCATATCCTCTGAACATTCCTATTTACTCAGCTTGGAGATCTTGATAAGAATGTTCAAAAATTCTAAAGAACTGAGTGATACAATGACTAAAACAGAGAGGCATCATCTTTTCTCCAATATTACAGATGTCTGTGAGGCAAGCAAAAAGTAAGTGCACTCCAGTTTGCCTTTGGTCATGCCAAAAATTGCTTCCTAATAAACAGCTGTGTATCTCAACTGGAAGATGTTTAGGGTTATAATGACGCTTTTCTTACAGAACTACAGTGTTATGATTAGACTTATCATTACTTCATTTATCATTTTATTCTATTTTTTGTGTGTGTTTGTAATAGATTCACCTATTTTTAAAATTCCGAGGATACAACAAGTTATAACTGCCATTTATATACTGTTCCATGGCTACCTATAAGACAACCAATGTAAATATTTTCTTTGTTGTGCATCTTTTTAGAAATACTCTATGATTACATAAGAAAATACATGTATGCATTTATTTTTACTTAACTGGAGACATAACTATAAACACTTTTCTGCTTCTTACTCTTTTCACCATTGTCTTGAAGATCATTACAGGTTTATACATTCAAAGTATGCTCATTCATTTTTACACTTTTTCTTTCCAAATTATTTATTGAGGATACCAGGTCATTTGTTCATAGCATTTCCCAGGAGGCACATGTGTGGCTGGTGATCAATACCAGATCCATTAATTCATTAAGGATTACAAAATGGGGTTAGTCTAATTTTTCATTCTTACTTTATTAATTGGAATATTTCTATAAAAGGAATAGTAAATCCATCTAATCACATAGCCAGTGGTAACATGGTGAAATGGTGAAGTTTAAGTTATTTTATTTATTATTTATTGATGCCTACATCTTCTTCTTTTTTTCTTTTTCTTTTTATTATCATCATAATCTTCTTTATATTACATTGGATTACATATGACTTTACAGTGTATTACATTGCTTTTTCAAAAGGGAATGTCATGCATGTCAGTCAATACA